TTTTTTAACTCTCCCTTTCTTCCTTAAAAAAAAAATATATATATATATATATATTTATATATGTTATACAACTAGTCCCTGATACCACTTGAGTTTGAGGCTAGCTACAATCCTAAAAAGTCACCCAAAAGAATCCATCTATCTTCAAGGTCATTATTATGAATTATGTGATTTCAAGTCCCTCCAAACACTTTCCCTGCTCTCTCCCTTTACTCCTCCCACCTCCTTTAATCAAGGATATTGCCTTTTATTACACAATTGGACACACCTTGAGAAATTAAGTACAATCTTGAAAATTATGACTGCATGTACAAATGCTCTTTATGGAAAATATAGGTAGACTGGAAGTCAAGATCTAGGTTCTAGGACTTGTTTTCACAATATCTCACAGCATAAACCTTAGCCAAAATTTTTATTCTCTAGAGTTCAATTCCTTTCGTTTTTATATAAAAGTAGATTTCAATTAAACTGTAAATCTCCCAATATCTTCTATACAAACATTTACAATAAAATAAGCTTTTCAGCAAGTATAGATTCTTCCTGCTTTGGATGGGGTATGAAAAGGCAGGAGAGTGTGTTAGAAAAATAGGCTGACCTGGTAATTAAAATGGGAAGTGAAAAGAGAATAAGAATCTGCCACTGTGGAAGACAGTGCCTGAGGACCATGAAAACAAGTCCATGAAAACTTTCCAGTTTTACTTATGGCTGCCGTTCACTCAGTGTATGAAAACATAAATTACAGAAATGTTACTATCTAATATAATTAAAATATTCTATCACACATCAACATTGCTTCTCATAATCTGTCAACTTTTATTCTCAAATGTGGCCAATTCTGCTATAATGAAGTTTTTGTGCTCCAATTTCATATTAATTTCAGTGTCAGTTAACTATCTGAAGATATCTGAATCTTATTTGTGCCTTAGATATTTCAACTTGTTGGAATGGTAAAACCAAAAGAAAAAGAACCAAGAATAGAAGAAAGGGTCAGGACAATTTACAAGTTCTAAAATGCTTTGTAAAACACAAAACCAAAAAGGCTAAAATCAGGTTATGAAGGCCTTTGCAAGCAATGGTCAAGGGCATGAACTTTATCTCCTGAACAATGAAAAGCCATGAAGCATTCTTAAAATGGGGCAAGTGACTTAATCAAATTTGTGTTTTTGATAACTGATGTCAGAATACATAATGACAAAATAGGGCATAAAATTATTATATAAACAGCATATTTTATTTATCTACAGAATATTATATTTATCTACAAAATATTAACATAAATTAGAATGAAACACTCATCATTGAAGCCAAAAAATCATTTCAAAAATACTACAATATTATTTTAAAAATTCAAAGTGAGAGCCAAACATGATGGCACACACCTGTAATCCCAATTACTCAGGAAGCAGAGGAAAGAGGATGACAAATGTAAAGTCAGTCTGGGCAATTTAGCCAGATCCTGCCCCAAAATAATATTCAAAAAGAGCTGAAAATATAGCTAAGTGTTACATAGCTTGCTTTGCATGTTTGAGGCCCTAGGTTCAATTCCCAATGCAGGAAGGAAGGAAGGAAGGAAGGAAGGAAGGAAGGAAGGAAGGAAGGGAGGGAGGGATAAATTAACTAATTCACAGTGGGGAACTGCAAATTCCTTAGAGGGGTTAAATAATCATGTACACTTTAAAATCCCTCTCATTTTAAGTCTTCACACTACATATGTACACTTTTTTCAAATAAAATTAACACTTTAAATAGTATTTATGGGCATTAAGACCACAGAATTTTAAAATATTTACCAAGCCATTTAAAAAGCACTTGCCATTTTAGGTATAGAAAAGTATCTCACATACTAACTTGCCTTTCAAAACCCCATATTTACCTAACCACACAAAATGGTCTTGTTGAAAAGCTGAAAACTACATTGTAGAATATACAATAAAAATGTATTTGTTAGTTCTGATCAAAGCTTTCATTAGACAACTGATTTTTTAACAACTTCTTCTTAGTTTCAGTTGACTCCTGGCAGACAGATTACAAACTCAGTGCTTCTTTCTATTAACCCATCAAAGCAGAACACAGTCAGCAGTACTTAGATTTAAATTTTAAATCTCTTAATACTTTGAAAAAAAAAAACTTAGTTAAAAAGTGACATGTATAATATTTAAACCAACTATTATGCATTAAGTCAAATGTTTTACAAATATGTGCCATTATTTTTCAACACAGTACTTAACATCCCCAAAATTAAAAAATACTTTAAGTCCATTCTTACCCAATTAAAAACATTTATATTAATATGCATTTTCAAGTGGTTTCTAAGATGTTAATAAAAACATTTAAATTCTTAAGGAAATGAAAGTATAATGATTTTGTTATCAAAAAAAATGAATACACATATGCTTTTTTTTTAAAGTTCTCTCTTTCCAAAAAACACACAATATTTATTTTTTCCAAGCATCACGCTTAAAAAATATAGGTTAGCAATACCAATATTCAACATGAAAAATAAAACTTCAAAAATCACTAATTTGTGGTCCTTTATACTCTTATTTAATCTTTACCAGAAGTATTTACTAACTGAACACAAATAATTTTAGACTAAGAAAGTATTATAAAATTCATCTACTGGTATTCCCCTGGCTTTACAGGATCCCTGAAACTCAGAAAGGTTTACTGAAATTTAAAGGTTAAACAGGCGAGTCAAGACTTTGCTCAATCCTCGGCCTAAGGGTCCTCAGTCCTCAATCCTCTGCCTAAGAGTCCAGAACATTTTCCCCTATGTCAGGTTCCACTCAAATACTTTTCTTCTTTCTTCACCTCTGAAACAACAAAGTATTTTTACAATTGTCATATACAACATATTGATAATTACAAAATCTCTTGATCTTTTACTTCCATAAAAGTACTGGTTTCCTCTTAAATTCCTTATCATAATATATATGTGAAGCATACACACACACACACACACACACAAATCCTATTAAACTTCAAGAACAGCATAAATAAAAATTCTCGTTATTACAATCTCTACTAGGTTAAAAATATTCTTTTCTAGAAACACCCATATAGTATCAATTTCTGACACTAAACATTAAGCAACCACGTACAAACCCCTGAACTATTAACAAATATTTTAAGACTCCCCAAATTTTTCTACTCAGTTAATAAGGATTTTGTGCACCAAGAAAATATGCCCTTTTTAGAAGCACAAATTGTATTTTCCTCTAATACAAATTAAAAAAATGAAACTACCTAGCACAGCAGCGCACCTAGTCAAAGGCTGATAAAAGTTGCTATGAGGGAAAGAGCACCCCACTGGATTAAGAGGATTAGAAGTTGACTACACCCATCAAGTTGCAATGAAAATATATTAAACTATAATGTTAAGTTCAGCAAAATTGTCTACAAATGTTATGAAATGTGCTAAAAGAAATTCCCTTGTAATCAAAAGTCGAAAGTTATTCCATTCTATGAAAATAACGGATACTACTTTGCTGTACAATGAATCCTCTTAAAACAATTTTCTCGTGATACACATTTTCTAAGCAATGTCTATTATCATTGGGAGTAAACATAGAAAACAAAACGCGTAACATTATTTTCAAGCATTTAACCAAAAATTAAAGACCATAAGAGTGGCTTCTAAAGCCATATCAAAAAAGCAAAGTGTTGTCTCACTGGAACACCACAGGTCAGTGTTTAACATGTCATAAAATCAACATGGTTATCTTGTAGATTATCTTGAAGAGTACACATGACAGGAGAAAGAAAAGAAACAAAGTATCTCAGATGTAGTAAGGACAAGAAAATTTTGTTTCCAATATGCTAGGTTAAAGATATCACTAATCAATTAAGTCTGAAAACTAATGATATATACTCCTACTTAAAACCTCTGCACTTACCAGTTAAGTTGCACAGAACACAGCACTAAAAAAATCTAATCAAATCCTAACACCAACGCTTTCTAGACCTGTGAAGTTGGGTCACCTCAATAAACCTCAATTGGCTCATCTCTAAACTGAGGTTAATGTCACCTATCAAACAGAGTCCTTGAGAGGCTTTGAGACAACATATGTAAGGCACTTTGACTTTGTAAATGCTCAGTGAACAGTTGTTCTACTAAGTTTCCTGGTTATGTACACCAAATAGAGATCTCAATGCTATATAAAGATATGCTCAGTCCCTGATGATTTTGATTCTTTTAAAAATCAAAACTATGAAAGCCTACAAGAAAAAAAAATGGAAATGTGCTGGCATCTTTCCAGACATTACCAGGTTTAAAGGTTAAATTGTTAAAACATTCCCCTAATTATGCAACAAATACACATTACCATGAGTTAGTCTGTATAACTTTGCATTTGCCCACATTCCTCTTTTTCATCTAAATAAGTCTCAGTTCCAAAGCTCATTTCTGTTCTTTTAATTACAAGATCGATGACTCCTCTCGTTATTATCAATAATAACAAAATCCCGTTTAAAAATCAGATAGGGGCTGGGGTTGTGGCGCAGTGGTAGAGTGCTTGCCTAGCATGCATGAGGCACTGGGTTCAATCCTCAGCAGCACATAAATGTAAAATAAAGATATTGTGTCCACCTAAAACTAAGAAATAAAATAAATATTTTTTTAAAAAATAAAATTCAGATAGGTTGTCTCATTTAAAGGTAGAATGTTGTTTTCGCGCCGATTATCATCCTTGTTAACAGCAACAGATAAATGGCACCAAAGAGACCAACATCAAAGTACGCCCAAAGTGGAGTAGTGAACCTATCAAACAACACATAATCCGCCTTACTGCACAAAGTCTTCAACAACTGCAATATGAACAGCTGTCCCATTCCTACTGCAAGAGAAAACGTACTTGCTTCTGTGTTTCTAAAAAGTTTTCTGTATTTGAAGAAACCTTTCCAGAACAAAAACTGATCCCCTCGCCTTTGTTTCCCCCCAGGTCAGCGCGCCATGCAGCAGCCAGCCCACGGGCACTGAGCCCGGCTTTCTGTCCACCTACCTGCTCTCTCGAAATACAAGGCAACGAAGGTCTCCTGAACATTTTGCCACTGCCATAGTGACCGGCTGCCGTTTCTCCTAGCGACGCGCAACTGGACCTCCTCCGGGGTCTGATCACAGGCACTTTTTCTTCCAGGGTGCTGGGCACCCGGGGGTGAGGCGCGGCTTCCCTGAGGTGAAAGAAGTGATCCAAGCCCAGGGCCAGCAGGCATCCGACGGCCCCGACCAGGCAGGAGAGCAGCGGCCTGAGGGCAGTGGGCAGCGCCCCGAGGCTGGCGAAGGACACCCACCAGACCAAGCTGGCGACGAGCAGCACCAGGATGCTGTGCCCGAGCCGCACCGGGTGCGCGAGCGTCAGCAGCCCCACGCAGCTCAGCACCAACAACAACCTGCCCGCCGCGGCCGCCGCCGCCGCCGGGGGCGTGTGCGGGGCCGCGGCCGCGTCCCCCCCAGACCAAGACCACCACTGCCACACCAAGAAGTCCCCCAGGTAGCAGCAGGCGGGCAGCGCCAGCAGCCACCAGGAGCCGCCGCTCCGGCCGGGGCCGGGCCCCCGCTGGGTCCGCGTCAGGAAGCAGGTGAGGAAGAAGAAGGCACAGGCGATGCTGAAGAGAGGGCTGAGGCTGTGCGAGCACACGCTCAGCAGCGTCCGCAGCCGGGCGGCCCCGGCAGCCCAGCTCCCGGGCCCCGCGCCGAGCAGCAGGGCGAAGACAAAGGCGGCCAGGGCGCCCAGCGAGAGGCGCGCCGGGGAGAAGGGGGAGCCGCGCCGCGGCTGCGGGGGATAGGCCGGCGGTGGCTCCACGTTGCAGAAGCGGCAGAGGTGAAAGAAGAAGCCGCGCGGAGGGTCCTGCCTCAGCGGGCTCAGGCAGCTCTTCACGTAGCCGTTCCTCAGACTCTCGAGGGGCGAGCCGGCCCCGTCCGGCGACTGCGGGTACCTCATGGCTTTGGCGTCTCGCTCGTCCCTCCTCATGGCCGGGACCGCAGGGAAGCGCAGGGCTCAGCGCACCGCGCTCCGACCGCAGCGGCCGCTCGCGCTCCAGGACCCCGGTCCCCCGCGTTCGGGGAGACCACCGGCTCGAGACGCGTCAGGGCTGCGCCCGCCGCCGCCACCCAGGGTCCCCGCCGCGCGGGCTCTGGAGCGGCGGAGTCCGCGACATGCTTGCTGGCTGAGCAGAGGCGCGGCAGGAGCTTCTCTCCGGGACCGCTGCGGCCGCCTCCTCCTTTTCCCTCGGGCACCTCTCGGGACTGGAGACTCGGTGTCGCCTCCCAGCTCCCGCTGGCTGCAACAGTTACCTCACGGCCCCAGCCTGATCCGTTGGGCGCGCGAGCGGCGGGCTGGCGCTCCTCCCCCGCGGCTGTCCCTGCCGGGAGCGCGCCCCGCCCGCCGCCCGCGCGCGCCCGCGCGCGCCCGCACCCTATCCCGCCACCACCGGCGCCGCGACCGCCCGATGGGGACGCGAGCCGGGTACCCAGCTGGCAGAGCGCCGCCCGGGCTGAGTGCGGCTGCAGGGGTCCTATGACCGACCCGGACTGGTAGAGGCGGACGTCCGGGACGTCCGTGGATGGAAGAGGCAAGGCCGCCATCCTGGGACTCCAGGCGCGCAGGCTCTCTTTGGGAGTAAGTCACTGCCTCTGACAGGTCTTAAGAGAAAAAAGTGTTTGTGGTCCCCAAGGAGAGGGATACGGAGCTAAGAGTGAGAGGGACGGGACTGGCGCCTCTGCCCTCAGCCAGGGTCAGGGTGGGCAGAGCTATGACCCGTTGAGGGCCAGCCACCACAAGACCAGATGAAAAACCCTAATCGTTAGGTCTGGCCCCAACAGCAACGTGGATTCTTGGGCCAGGCAGTGCCTGTGATGTGCCCTCTGTGAGCATCCATATGGGCCTTGCTGAAGAACCGTGTTTCAGTTAGGCGAGGAACTGTTCCATTTTGCACCATTGCCACACACACACTGCTTCCCATCTCCTGCCTCCCTCCAGTGCAGCATAGATGTGCTGTCTCACATGTTCTTCCCGCGTTCTCACTGTAACAGCATGTTCTAGAGAAGGGACATGGGTGTGCAGTCCCTGTATCCTCTTCCAGACCACCCCCCAGTTTAGATAGGTTGGCCTTGAAAGAAACCAAATGAGATGCTGTGAAGCACTGGTGAAACTAGTCCATTAGGAAACATGGACTTGAAAGTGGAAAGAAAAGAACTTTCCTGTACCAAAAGGATTGCTCTGGAATCTAACCAATCATAACTGCCTTAGAGAACTCCACCGAAATTCCCTTCGACCTCATGGCCTGCATTTCTCAAAGAGCTAATTCCACATTTTTCCAGGGAGATGAGAAACCTTACTGTGTGGTAAAGCCCACAAACAGGCCTATTTTTCACCAATTAATCTCTGCCCACAGCCATGACTTAAAGCAGAGCATTTTCGTATATGGTCATAGTTCACATACACAACAGAAATGACAAGAATTAGCACAAGAGTTTGACCAAGATAATAAAGGACCAGAATTCCTTTTCCTGTTCTGTTGAATAAAGAAAGAAATATTTACTGGAGTTTTCTAATTGATTATCCAAATACTTGCCCTAGAAGATAAAAATTCATCAGATCTTTTTTCCACCAGACATGTAAATGGAAAAAAAAAAAAAGTTCATTTCAATAAAACTCAGCAAATACATTTTTTAATTTTATGCATAGAACTTATTATCATATTGAAGTTTAAAATAGGGTTCCTACACTTTTTGGAGGATGTAAGAAAGAGCATGACAAAACTAGCACCAACATTACTGAAATGCCTGTTGTAGATTCTCTTAGGAAGTAATTGATTAGAAAATTAGAACAAATTCAGATTAAAATTTTTGTGTTTTCTTTTTTAAATCTGAGGTTGTCATCCAGGATAGGATAGGCATGGTAATGGAAACAGTAATGGATTAGAAATCCAGTTTCTTGAATTTTGGTTCCAGCCCAGCTATTCATGCCCTGGTAGTAAGCAAGTTGCATGACTTTTATATGCCTCATAGTTCTCAGCTGTGAAATGAAACAATTTAATTAAGATGACTTATAAAGACTATAATACCTGTATCCAAAAAACATGCAGACATCCTAAAGATTCACCTTTTAGACTGTAAGAGCACCCTTTGAATAATTTGTACTACCCCATTAAACTGAACTCTCAGTGTTGATGAGTAAAAATAAAGGGGTTTATACCAAAGGACTGTTTTCTAGAAAATAAAACTCAAAGCCATCTTCGTAAAATTGTTGTAGTTCTCAATTCATTAGCCTTCTTTCAGCTGTCATCAAGATGTTTGTAGAACTAAAAGCCCAACTCTCAATAACCCCTGGTTGGAGTGCATTCCTCTGAACACCAACCCAGCACCTGAGAGAATTCTAAAATAAAATGTAAGAACATGACCAAAGACCATCAGAAGTTTACTTAACTAAAAATATTCACAAAAAGAATGAGCTAGCTATGTTTATAGCAACTCCCTTCTCTGTTTACAATCTTTGTCAAAGATTATTACTAGGCTGCATTTCTTAGAGGTCAACTTATTTAATTATTCTTCTGCCAAACTTACACAACCAATAGATTTACTTAGCTCTTGTCTTTAGGTTCAAGAACTTATGACCATTATCCATTGTGACGAAAGGTCTCATATCACATACCTTTGGCTTTTCTTGACACTCTATACCCCAGCCTCATTTTACCTGACTTTATTTTCGCTCACATCTTGATCCATGATCTCTCTCCTTTCTAGTGGATATTTTCATTCTTCCAACTTGACAATCCGTGACATGGAATCCTAGTGATCACCACCCATTTTCCAAATTATTCTGGGGCAATGTAACCCCCTGTGTATTCCTTTTTTCTAATAATGGTATCCATAGACCCAGAGTTCCCTCATGTGACTCAGCTTGTAGGGTGAGAATTTTGTTGTTTTTGCTGTTCTCCTATACCCATACCAATAAGACACCAATGCCCCAATTACATATGGAAGAACCCCACCTAGATCTTTATATTTAATTCCCTTGCTTCTTTCATTTCATCTGTTCTCTTTGTACCACTCCCTCCAACAATATTTAATGTCTCTTCATTAATGAATACATTCATTTATTCAACAGTTTCGGGACCTAATACTGCCTTTAATCCCCAGTTTAAAGCTTAAGGTCTCCATTAACATTGACAGAAATTCTAGATGCCACCTGGTTTCCACTCAAGTACCAGTTGGGACATACCATTACTAGGCTTGACCCAACTGTTGGAGCCTACTCCACCTGGGACCTCTGTGGCTAACCATTGCTGCATGGAAATTGCCCTGCCTCCCTGTAATTCCCTGTCCTCTCCTGGAACCTTAATTCTCAAAGAAACAACTGGGTCTTACATTAGGTCTCAGCCCCTCTTTCCCTCCTGCCCTATCTTCTAGTAAGTGTAATTCCCACACTCATGCCTTGGGCCTTCAACCTTTGTTTTAAGACAGGATTATTTCCTAACCAAAATTCAAATGTAAAGAAAATCCGTTTCTAGAGCAATACTCCCCATTTTTAAATGGATCTTGGTAGCTGCACCTCTAGTAACCTTATTATGATGGAATATAAGTTGAAGAAGTAGGACAGGGAGTTAAATGAAGTATAGGATTTAGGCCATTACTGCTTGTCAGACAAAAGTCTCATAATCAGGCAGCTCCTCAGGATCTGACTCTCAGGATGAGTTGTGGAACAACCTCTAAAGATTTGCTAAGAGCAGTTGGAAAGAGAAGAATAATAGTTACCAGCCCTTTAATAGCCTTTTGTTATCATTCTGTTTTATCCTGTCACCTTTCAAGTATGGTTTTAAACATTTTCAAAAGAAATATTATACAAATAAAAGGAGACTGGTCTTGTTTTGGTATAGGTGTCCAGTCCCAGAGCCTGAGTTTTACTCAGTAGATCTCTGGCACCTTCTATTCTGAATTGACCCCATCTTTGGAACCCTAGGCTCAAAATACAGACCAATTGGACTTCAATTGGATTTAGGAAAATGCCTAGAAGAACTGGGAACACTTTTTAAATGCAACTTTCCAGAATTAAGTGATAAAACAATCCTAATTTCTCAGAGATAAAAATACAAAGTGATCTGACAAATTTTAAATATCAAAGAAACTTTCAGGAATAGGCAGTAAATAACCAATATCACTGAAATTCCAGATTTCTAAAACTAGAGTCACTCCTTCAGTTACATGAAAACCTTGTAAAATTTTAAAAGAATTGACATTCACAAATATAAGAGTGGAAAATAACACAGACTATCTTTTCTCCAGGGTAGAAAGAATAACTCTTTTTTCAATGTGCAATAGCAACTCAATTGCATGAGTATATTGACAATACCTATGTTCCTTTCAACTAATACCCATCTCAGAATCTGAGCCTCCCTATTACTCTTTTAGTTTATCTTAAGTATTTTTTGAGTGCTCCCGATTTGCAGAGTACTATGCTAGATGATTCTTAGAATGTTAAAAACTAAAAGTTCCTTCACAGATTTATCAGTTATTGCTGTATCTAGGAAATAGGGCATATGCACATAGACTATTAAAAAGCACAACAGAATATACAATAAAAGCCATTGAGAATGGTGCTTAAGGACTATTAAAGAAGAAAAAAAAAGAATAATGTCCCCACTGTACGTTTGCCTCATCTTGTTCTATTTATTTTTCCTTCTCCATATTTGTTCCAGTCCTCTCCCTTGTCTTCCTTTCTGTCTCCATTGTCTGTGCAGATGATTGTATTCCGGTCTTTCTTCCTCTCTCCACCAACTCTTCCTTTTCATCTTTATATTTAATTCTCTTGCTTCTTTCACTTCACCTTTCTCTTTGTACCACCCCCTCCAACATTTAATGTCTCTTCATTAATGAATGCATTCATTTATTCAACATTTATTAAGTGCCTCTCATGGTTCTAGACACTGCTAGATGACATTTAGTGATGAAGGTGTGGTTTCATAGTGCAGGGGAAGGTAGAACAGTAAAAAGACTACTAATTTCCCATGTAACAGGAGCTGTGATAGAGAGGTAAGTGGGTTTAGTGTTCCTTCAGAAGAGGGACACCTACCCTAGACCATGGAGGGAAGAGTGAGTAAGGAGTAAAATTCTGAGGGAGTTGAAAAAAGTGAATTTTGAGCTCAATATTGAAAGGTGAATAGAAGTTATCCAAATACAGTGGAAAAAAAGATAAGTTGGGCAAAGGCACAAGGGCAAATATGGAAGAATGCAACCCTGGTACATTTGGATAACTTCTAGTATGTGGGAAAAGGAAAA